CGCGGTAGATGGTGCTGAGTAGGGTCTCCTCGCTGAAACCATGATGAGGACATTGGATCGTGTAGTCTTTGAAACGTTCCATTGCCTCGTTGAATGTCTCGTTGTTTCGTTGAGTGAAGCCGCTGATTTCGCTTCTCAACCGTGCTGTCCTGGTGCTAGAGAAGAATTTTGAGAGAAAGGCCTTCTTACACTCGGCCCATGAGGTGATGGTGCCTTGTGGGAGGGTCTTCTCCCAATGCCTAGCCTTGTCTCCGAGTGAAAAGGGAAAGAAACGCAGCTTGAAAGCATCTTCGGATATGCCATTGATCTTGATCATCCCACATACTTGCTCGAAGTTGTCAAGGTGATCCAAGGGATCTTCCATTGCTAAGCCGTGGAACTTGTTGTTTTGCACCATGGAGATGAAACCTGGCTTGATCTCAAAGTTGTTGTTCTGTACAGGAGGAGGAGTGATCCCAAACCTATTGTGATGAGTATTGGGAGCATCTCCGGCTCCTATGATCCTTGGGGGTCTAGCCGCGTGTTGAGAGTTTCCATTGCCCCTTCCCACTGCGCCGTGAGCTGGAGGAGGTCCCTCTGGATGCTCGTGTTCAGCCATAGCTTCAAAGTCAACCAAACCGTGCTGAACAATCTCCTCAAAGGCTCTGGCTTGTTCTCTGACTCTTCTTTGCCATGAATGACCAAGCTGATGAATATTGTCCAAAGGTGGAAGTAGATTGTTATCTCCCCGTGAACAAAGATTCATATACCTGAGAACACACGTTTGAGAGTAGAATGATTAGTAACTTAAATAAAGTAAAGACTTAGTCTTTTCTAAGTCTCAAATCTCTATGTTCTCTAAACAATCCTAGGATGGCAACGGCGCCATTTGATAGACACTTATTTTGCAAGGGTGAGAATGCAATGAGGTTATCAAACTCAAATGCAAGACAGGTTGTAGTACAGCATGCAAGAGAGAGTCAATCTATACCTAGGATGATAGAAAATGCAAAGAGAATGCAAGGACTATGCAAATCTAAGCGAAACAAGATAGGTTTTGAGAAAATCCCTAAAAACTAGATGCAGCAACTAAATGGAATGCAAACTATTTTAATATTACCATGAATGATCAAACTACCATGAGGAACAAACAGAATGATTAAAGGACAAAGCTTCGAATTACTAAAATTTGACTAGTGGATCGACCATGAGATCGACCACTATATCGAGCAATAACAATCGATCTCGTCTAAAAATGCAAGAACAGTAAAACTAACGATCAGGATGCTATCAAAGATCAAGCGAATGACGAGAGAAGATGTAAAGATGCTAAAAGAGAGGGCTTATGGTTGAGATTCATGGTCAGGGGTTTCAAAGGTTCGACCTTGGGTTGAAAACTTTAAATCGACTCACTTTGTGAAGATCTCTAAGCCTTGAAAACTAAGCAAGATATATCAGTGGCTTTCGGTATAGATCACTCCTTCATCCTCTCCTCCAAACCCATGGCTTTTGGTGGAAAGAGAGGTCGAAGGGCAAGGAAAACAGATTTCAAACGAGTGGCTTAACTAGTCCCCTAAACTTCCATGGCTTTTGGGAAGGGGTAACTAGTCTCTAGGGTGTGATCTTCAGAGGTCCCTGGATCCTGTCAAGGTAAGGAACCTCTCGGATCATGATGCTCTTGGCGTGAGAGTCTTCAAGCTTTGAGAGCTCAACACCCTAGAAGAGATAGCCATTAAAACACTTAGAAAACCCCAAGATCGGAACCCTTTAGATCCCTTAATCCTCTCAACCCCGAACCCAAATAAACTACTCACTACACATAAGGTAAATCAAGCAAAGCATGGAAAAGGAAACGATGAACATAAAAAGAAAACTAGATTAAGCTGAAAACGATTCGATTACAAGCTAAAGAAAACTCAAAGTTCGACAATGGTGTTCTTCTTCAAAACCAGAGAGAAAAGCATAAAAAAGATAAGGATGGAAAAAGTGTGTGGGAAAAGAACGTCGCCGCCTTCCCAAAATGGCCAAAACAAGCTGATGGTCCCCCCTCGCTAGCGGCCAAAAGTGGTTGAAAGGACAGAGATCGACTCCGGGATTGAGCGGTTCTCTCGATCATCTCCGAACATCGTGTCTTCAGCTCGATCTGGGTCTCGATCATTCTCCTTGGATCGCCTGGTCTTCTCGATCTTCTGGTCGATCACATCCTAGATCGACCGGCCATGCTCGATCTGCTCCTCGATCTCTGATCCTTAGCAAATATCCGAGCTTCCACGAACTGCTACAACAGCTTCAGCACGTCCACGAACCTCCACGACTCCAAAGCAGCCAGAAACAACCTAAATGTAATGCAAAATGCAAGGAACATGCGTATGCTGGTGCAAGAATGCTCTAGGACTCTAAGTGATGCAATCTAACCTAAAACGTGTTGCAAATGCATGAAAAGCTAACTAATGAGTATGCAAAATGTATGTAATATGCAGTAACATCAGATACATCTGTTTTTCAATCTTTGATTTGAGATTTTGATTCATATGTTTGATTGAAAATCAGTTTCCTTTTGCTTCTCTATCCGATCAACCTCTCCTGCAGATTCTCTTTGTTTCTTATGTATTCATTAATCGGTAGACGAAGGATCTGCTCTTCCTAGATTGAATCTGACTGGTCTTTGCCACATATACGATGTCTGTATTCGATTTACGGTTTGATAAGATTCTAAGTATACGTTTATGAGAATAAGAGTGGACATTGAGCCGTGGACAAAACACCGTGAGTAAACTTGTCCATGACTATGCAAAATTATTAAATCACAACAACTATTTATCCACAACAATATATCCCCATTAATGTATCCATACAAACTTGTCCATGACTATGCAAGATTATTAAATCTCTGAATCAGATTTGCAAAATCATCCACAAGATCATGGCCACACAATCTTATTCATGAATTTGATAATTTCTTAACACTGGTTGGTGATTTTTTCCAGAGTTTGGTAAAATATCCAGATTTGAACAACAATCCGTGCATGGATGCGAATAGGTGGATGCATATTTTCATACAATTATTGATGGACACGAGTTCATGGACAAAATTATCGGATCACACACGCATACCTAATATTATGTGGATGCATTGTGTTGGATGACATGTGGTTGGATGCAATGTGTTAAACGCACATATTGGATGCAATGTGTTTTGATGCACTGAGTTTGGATGTAATGTGTTGGATGCAAAGACGTGGATGCAACTTCCAATTATCAGCACTTCACAAACCATCATTAGACATGAGTCACCCAAAACTCTGTTTATCCCAATCAAATGTGTTGGATGCATGTGAAAAAGTTATCATGAACACGATATAGCGAACAAAATTAATCGTGTGTATATGAGATGTGGATACATTATAATGGATATGTTCGCATGGTCAACTTATAATGGACATGTTTGTCCACCAGCTACCATTCACAAGTCCATGACTTAAACTGTACAATTTTTCTTTTATCCTCTTGTGTACATCATATACTCTTACATTTGTCCTCTGTTGGGAATGCCAATGCTCTCTTACAATAGATGGTGTTCAAACATGTCCCCTTACCCCCAAATGTATAGAGATACCCATTGTGACGAACCTGTCAACATATCCATAATTATCTGTCCACAAAAGGTATATGTAAACAGTTTTCGTGTCCATAACTATCTATCCACAAAAAGAACAAACCCACATCTACAACAGCTTTCGTCTCCAGAATTACATATCAACACAATGTACAAACATATTTTCTTTCCATTGATAACTGTCCACAAAATGCTGTGCACCAACTACTACATTGATATATCGACGAACCTACTCAAAGCTCGTGTCCATATTTGTCTGTCCACGCTTCTATTACAATAAATCTGGGTCCAAAACATCACCCTATACACATTTTTGTATATCTATCATTGATCTAAACCACTAAATTTCACCCATCCATAACATTACATCTACACATGAACATCCACATATAAATACTAAAATCTCAACCTTTTGCCTTCTCTTCCGTCTCTGTTGTCTTCACCAAGAACCTTAGAAGTAGTATACCATTATTTTTTCATAGAAAGTATTCATAATTATTGATCCACAAAATCTTTATCCAAATATTTTGTCCATGGTATCGCATTCACGGTCTCGTGTCCACGAGTTTCTATGAACAATCTTTTGCTCAAATCTAGGTGTTCGGTTCTAAAATTTATGGTGCCTACTTGAAATCAGTAAAAATCATAATGACTCTAAACACAAGTAAACGACACCTTCGAGATCGAGATATAGAGAGAACATGAGAGCTGAAGAAAATAAATCCATATCAATTCTTTAAATTGAGATTGGTGGAGGCGCGATAGAAAGAGAGAGATAGCCTAAAACGAGGAGACATAAAGTGTCTCAAGATCCATATAGAAATTGAGAAATTGTTGTTGCCGGAGATGAGGAGAGAGAGAGAGAAAGAGAGAAAAAGAGAAGAAGGGTGAAAAAAACAAAAACTATATCGACGAAGACAAAAAAAGAGAGAAAGACATTTTGGTATTAAAAAAATTTGAATAATACTTAAAGTCATCCAATTTTTAAAAGTACTTTTGATTGTAATAACAGTTTGGTAAAGTGCTTTTAGGCGTAATTAACTTTTAAAAAATACCCAAAGAATAACTACTATTTTGTTTTGTCTTAATCTCATTTGAACTTACTAGTTGGGAAACTACGAAATCTTCAATATCAATGAAAAATTAAATTTTGTAGTTGCCTAGAAGAACTCCGAATCACAGTGACATACACAAGCTTAACAAAAGACAAAGCTACACAGAACAAACACTAATACATATGTATATCTCCTACTTTACATAAATCACCAAAGTTCATCATCGTTATCATCAACATCATCAAAACAAGAAACATCTAGAGATGAATAATGAATGTGGAGAAAGACAATGCATTTTCTAACTTAAAAGATAAAAAAAAAAAACAGTGATCCTTTGAATTTACTAACGATCAGGCCTTGGGAGGCTTGTTGGAACTAGCAGATTTTCTCTTGATCACAATGACCCAAGTTACAGCTTCCAAGAGCAAAGTGATGCCTCCCAATGTCACAATCACAGCGATATAAGCCGTCTTGTAAGTATGCTCCGGGTTTAAGATGCTGAGACCTTTGAAAACATTGATGATTCCAAGGATGAGGATAGAATATCCAACTCCATGGTGATAAATATTCCAAAAGAATCTGAACTTGTGGTCCTTCCTTGGCCTCAACAGCATCGCAAACATCTTTAAACACGCGCAAAAAGACACACCCATAATTCAACAACAGAACAAAACACACTTTTACTATTGGCTAACTTGCATTTTACTAAAGTCCTAACAAGCTTGAAAGACAAGTGACCAAGTGGCCCACGGTGGAATCGAATTTAATCAAATGAGTATTAGCATTGATTTACCTGAAGTGTTGCCAAGGAGAAGAGAGCAATGCCAATGTTGCGATGACTGTTGTACTGAATACCATTAGATTCGGAGCCGAGCTTAAGTCCGGTGGCCCATCCCGCGACGCCGATGACGTAAGCAGAAAATTGACAAGACACGTGGAGGTAAAACCAAGCAGGATCTGCCGATTCAAAGATTCTCATGTATCTTGCTATCATTGCTCCAATCGGAAACAAAATTCCCCAGCTTACGGTATTTAATATCCCATGGATCTGTCAGATTCAAATTCAAATTCAAATTCAAATTCAAATTGTTGATTCTTCTTGAATTTTTAGAAGAAATGGTTTCAACAAACCAAAGCAAAATAAAAAATCAGATTCAAATTCTTCATTCTTGAAATTTTAGATTATATGGTTTCAAAAACTGAATCAAACTCACGTTTCTCTTATGAACCCTGGAGTTACCGTCGCCGCCGCCAGAGACAGGAACACTGGTGGTAGCGCCGGTCAAATCGAGAGACCCCATGGCGTTAAGATTCGGAGTGCTGAAATCGTGGGGTTGTATCCTCCCGTTAGGTGACATTCCTGGTCCAACCTGCCAAACCTGGTTGACCTTCCCATTCGCCGCCAAATCCGCCGGAATCTTAACCTTCGCGAAGATTCGTAGAGCTCCGGCCGCCTCCTCCTCCGCCTTAAGGTCCCACACCTCGAACGATAGCTTCCCTGGGACAAGCGAATTATATGAGATGATGCTAAGCGTGGTCACGGAGGCAGCACCGGTTTTGGAGTCTTTTGAGGCGACAAGTGCTTGAGATCCAGCCATGCCGGTGGATTTTGGGTTGATTGCCCAAGCTATCCAACCGCCGGGTTTTGACGGCGGAGCCGAGAAAACAACGGCGAGAGTTGTGTTAGCAGCGTCATAAGAGTAATGGAGGAAGGCTTTGAGGTTAGGGAGGTTGAGGCAGTGAGGGTAAAATTTAACGCCGGAAAATGTTTGTGACGAACAGGAGGATGACTGTGAAACGGCCGGTGAAATTAGCAGAGCCGAGAATATGAAGGAAAGAGAGATTCCAAGGAAAGAAGACATTGATGATGATGCTATAAGTTGTAGTAACAGTCAAGTATTGGTTCGGAAATAAATAGGGGATAATGGGTTGTAAATATAGCCTGCATCTAAATCTACGATACGCACGTGGCTTCACCTAATAACAGATTTTACTTTTAATTTTGATTTCATTTTTTATTTCCGGAAAACACAACAGAACTTTTTGTGGTCTGATTCTAGAACGGCATGGGACAGAACATTATCAGATTAAGAAGTTGAGACAGTTATGTTTGACCTAAGACCAAGGATCTGAGAGTGTTTTGCGCCTTCAAATAATACCACCTTTTTTTTTTCAAAATATCTATATTGTTATGAAATATTTTGTGATGTCTATTATAAGTCTATAAATCTATTTTTCAGAAAGTTTTAGAATTATTTGTAAATTAGATTTTATTTTGTCATTAAATAATTTTTTTCTTCTGTATTTTTATGTAAATGATCACCTATTCATTAGAATAAAAAAACATCAATTTCTTCTACTCATTTTTTTCTATTTACAGTACATTATCAACATGAAATCCAAACCCTCTGAGCTAAAAGATATACATTTCTGCTTTTTAGTATTTATTCATTCCAACTTCAAATTGTGTTTATTATCAATTCATGATTTGTAAGAATGTATCACATATTAATATTATGATAGTCTACTCGAGAGATTCACATCATATATTTTTTTATTATTTATTTATATGAACAATATTATAGATAAATGAACAGAAAGAGGTCCAAAAACGAAAGGTATGACTTGGAAAATAAAGAAATAATAAGTAAATAAAAATGAAGTACAAGAACTCAGATTCCAAATGTACAAATTAAAACTTTGATGAAATATATTTATTTTATTATTCTTATTTTTATGATTGATATTTGATGTAGGTTTTTATCGTATTTCAATCCTCAACCCACATTTGTCATTGTAGCATTGAGTTTAGTCAATCCATAAGGGGAAATTTAGAGTAGTAAGAGTGCAATAGAGTTCTTAATTCAAGCAGAAACAAAGAGTTTAATTATCTAACAACCTAAAGAATCAAATCAACTTAAAGCAAACACTTAACACGAGCAAGCAACAACCAAAACATCAAAACTAAGTAAAAACGGAGCAATGCTAAGGCAAATTCGAATTCAACTAAAAACAGAAGAAAGACAGGATTTAATATGCGATAATTGGCATTAGGGAACTCACTACTCAATCTATGATGCTTGCAAACTCACACAATGCTATTCCTTAAGCATATAATTCATTTCTATGACTAATCCAATCTCTTGGTACTAATCTCTTTACTAATTATCAAGTGAAAAACTAATTCTCATTAGTAAAATGATAAACAGCAAGCATTAAGACAATCTACCAATCCTATATTGCTAAATCACTCCCTAGACAGCCAATCTCTTGAGCTAGGACAAGAAATTCTCTTGCAAAGCAGTTCATGTATTTCATCAAACACTTGGTGGGCATAAAATAAACCTAAGATCCTAATCAACTTAGCTAAGGCTAATCAGGAAACTAAACACAGCAATCAAGAAAGAAAATGGAAGAATTAACACTAAGACATCATAAATTAAACATCAAATTCTCTAAACCTAACTCATCTCAAATCCTTAAGTGACTACTCACTAATCACCATCAAAATCATCAATTCAAAGAAGAGAAGATAGATAATCATGATTAGAAAGAAAAAACAAGAAGATAAATGCAAACTATTAATAGTATCAAGCAAAGATTCAAACTACAAAGTATGATTAAGAAACAAGAGAAGGAAGGACTGCTGGATAATAGCATGATCCCATAAATTAGTGATTTAAAATATTTATAGGAGTCTAAGCGGAGTGGCAAAGTTGTAAATAAATGGTCTCCGGACTTGGTCAACATCGAGCAAGCTTGGTCGATGTTAGTGCTCGATGTGCTGACATCGAACATGTCTGATCGATGTAAGTGATCGATGTGCTCCTCTGGACTTCTGACATCGAGCTGGTTTTGTGCGATGTGAATGATCGATGCAAAAGTTGGTAGCTCCTGCCCTCCTACATTGTACGCTGATGTTAGTGTCCTGTCTCTTTACATTGTGCTGGCTTGACCTATGCTAGTGCTCGATGTAGACTTCATTTCTCTCGGGTAGTTTACATCGTGCGATGTGGAATCTGCCATGCTCGATGCAGAGCCATACTTCTACTTCCTTAGCTTCACTTGATCCTGCTTGATTTGGGCAACTCCCTGGATCACTTCCACCCTTCCTCCTTGATCCTGCTTGCACTACCCTTTCCCAAAGTCCTAACCTAGTACCAAGCTCAAGATGCAAGCTGGTATTTACAAGAGAGCTTCTCCTTGAAAGCCTTATTCCTAACACTTTTTGCCAAGATAAAATTTGAAATTATGCATGCAAGGCCTCACACTCTCACTACAGTGTTTAGGTTCAGAAAAAAAAGATTGGTTTAGGGTGTGGTTAATTGTCTCTTAAGGATGAGAATTAGCTACTTGAATTAACAAGAGTGGTAAGAAGGGAAGAAGATAATCCAAGTATATGTATTGGTAGGCATGTAATCACTCTCAATGCATAAACAAGATAATTCAAAGTTAAGATTATGGTCCTAATAGATAGAGTTGGAATGAAATCACAGCTATCTTCAGCATAAGACAAAAATATCAATGCAAGGATTCAAGATATGGTGCAGCCTTCAAACTCACTACTATGCAATCAGACAACAATTAACCAAGACATTGAAAGCAACTCAAATATTAACACCTTGACAAGTGTTTATCATCTACTCTCTATGCAAATGTATGCAAACCTATATGAAATGCTTATAGACTCAATCTCAATTATGCAAATGCAACTAAATGATCTTTTTGGTTCCAAAAGTTATTTTTAAATTTTTTTATGGATTTTCAGTGCATATAGATGAATGCATGAGACTCAAGTATGAAAAAGGGAAAATAAGAAAATAAAACACAATGTCAAATGCAATGTCCTCCCCCACACTGAGATTACACAGTCCTATGTGTAATAGAAGCTTGAAAGAGGGTGATAAGGGATACTAAGAATGAATAAAAAAGGATTCATAAAGAAAGGAGTAGAGTTGGGTACCTTAGAAGAGGTTTTGGCAGAAAAGTGGTTCACATCAGACAGCCATGGTCGATGTAAATGATCGATGTGGACATGGTTTTCTGCCCTCCTTCACATCGTATGATGCAAGTGATCCATGTACTTTGTGGTTCCTTTCGGGTCGTTTACATCACACGATGTGATAGGATGTCCTGCTATTTTTCACATTGTGCGATGTTGTTGATCGATGCTGGTACATCGAGCATAGATGGCTCGATGCTGGTGCATGATACGTTTGATTTGACTCTCGGGTGGTTTACATCGTCCGATGCAAATGGTTGATGTCTTGACATCAAGCTTGAGAGCTCGATATCTTTGGTCGATGTTAAACCCATTTCTTCCTGCTGATTTATAGCGCACAATGTGACCGATCGATGTGGTTGCACTTCTTTCACATCGAGCTCCAATGCTCGATGCTAACACTCGATGTCGCCTACATTGAGCTTGATCAGCTCGATGTTGCTGCACGATGTGGGAAAAATTATGCCTAGATGTTCATCTATTCAACCAACCACTTGCCTAGGATCAAAAGAAAAACACAAACACAAACTTAAAATGCAAAAATATGTACATGGATAACGTGGGACTACCTCCCAAGTGTGCTTGTGTAACATCCTTAGCTTGACTTTCCTTAGCCAATCACTCTTGTAAAGGATCTTGAAGATGGATGTCTACATCATCTCCAAAGGATTCACTTGCCATGTATGACTTTAGTCTGTGCCCATTCACTATGAAGTCTCCTCCATCCTTGTCAAACAAAGTCCCAGCTCCATATGGCAACACCTCCTTGATCTTGAATGGTCCTGACCACCTTGACTTAAGTTTTGCAGGAAACAACTTCAGCTTTTAGTTGAACAACATGACTTGATATCCAGCCTTGAAGTCCTTGGGCCTTATCCTCTTATCATGAAAATCCTTGGTCCTGTCTTTATAGATCTTATAGCTCTCATAAGCTTCAAGGCAATTTTCCTCTAACTCATGTAAGTTGATGAGTCTCTTCTCATGAGCTGTCTTCATGTCAAAATTCAACAGCTGTGTTCCCACAAGGCATTATACTCCAACTCCACAAGTAGATGAGAGCTATAAATGAGTGAGAAGGGGGTTCTACCAATGGGTGTCTTAAAGGCTGTCCAGTATGCCCACAAGGGATCATCAAGTTTATAAGACCAATATTTTCTTGTAATAACAACTGTCTTCTCTAAGATGGCTTTGATCTCTCTGTTAGACACCTCCACTTGACCACTTGTTTGAGGATGGTAAGGAGTAGCAACCTTATGCTTAACACCATGCTTCCTTAAAAAATTCTCAAAAACTTTGTTGATGAAGTGGCTCCCTCTATCACTTATGACACATCTAGAAAGTCCAAACCTTGGTAAGATGATTGACTTGAAGAGTTTCAGCACAACCTTGGCATCATTGGTTGGGGTAGCTACTGCTTCAACCCACTTTGAAACATAATCCACACCAACAAGGATATACTTATTCCCATAGGATAAAGAGAAAGGACCCATGAAGTCAATGCCCCACACATCAAATATATCCACTTCAAGAATTGAGTTCAGGGGCATCTCATCTTTCTTTGAGTTGCTTCCTTTTCTTTGGCATGCATCACATGATGAGATATAAGCCTGTGTGTCCTTGAACAAACAAGGCCACCAAAAACAAGCTTGAAGCACCTTTGAAGCTGTCTTGAAGGTTGCAAAATGACCACCATAAGCTGATCCATGACAGTGATGCTAGATTCCTCTAACTTCTTCTTTAGCTATGCACCTTCTGAACAATCCATCATTCCCTTTCTTGTAGAGATATGGTTCATCCCAATAGAAGTGAGAGACATCTCTGAAGAATTTCTTCTTTTGATATGAGTCAAGATTCAGTGGT